ACCTCTGCCTCCTGGGTTCAAGTGATTCTCCTGCCTCAGCCTCCCAAGTAGCTGAGATTAAAGGCACCCACCAACACGCCCAGCTAATTTTGTATTTTTAGTAGAGACAGTTTCACCGTGTTGGCCGGGCTGGTCTCGAACTCCTGACTTCAAGTGATCAGCCTGTCTCAGCCTCCCCAAAGTGCTGGGATTACAGGCATGAGCTGCCACGCCTGGCCATAGGAGGGCATTTGAGCAGGGCTAGGCATTACTGTAGACTCGAGGCTGCCATGCGCATTTCGATGAAGAGAAATGGGGGTTAGAGGGTGGGTTAGGGAAAAGCAGAGGGGCCAAGGATATATACTGGGATGGCCTTCAGCAAAAAAGATCTGAAAGTCAAACCAGGAAGAAGAGGTGAGTGTCAGATCGAAAACTCAAGCAGACGACAGCTAAAAAACTGAACATTTTAATTTGAGCTTCCTGGTGGCCTAGGAGAAAAGAGAGCTAGGGAAGGAGATGTTCCTGCCTCCTTCAGCCCAGGGTGGATTCTTCCTGTGTAGGCAGGAACGAAAGAGGAGGACGCTGGGGTGAAGGACACGGGGCATCCTCTGGGCCATCCTAGATCCGAGGGGTCTGGGGAGCCACAGGCAGCAGTGGAACCAGGAGAAGGGGGAGGATGAGACACCAGGCACAGCTCTAAGCCAACGCCGAGTCCCTCCACCCTCCCCAGCTGCCTGGCTCGAGTCACTGGGGAGCTGACCATGACCTTCCCTGCTGGCATCGTGCGTGTGTTCAGCGGGACCCCGCCCCCGCCTGTCCTCAGCTTCCGGCTTATACACACGGCTCCTATAGAGCACTTCCAGCCCAATGCCGAGCTGCTCTTCAGGTACTGTGGATGGGCGGTGGGAGCGGGCCTCAGAGGCTGCTGGGGGTCAGGGGCTTCCGGGCTCTGAGTTCCCTCTCTGCCCTATGGGATTTTTGAGACAGAGTCTCACTCTGTTGCCCCAGCTGGAGTGCAATGGCGAGATCTCAGCTCACTGCAACCTCCGCCTCCCGGGTTCAGGCAATTCTCCTGCCTCAGCCTCCTGAGTAGCTGGGATTACCAGCGTGCGCCACCACGCCCAGCTAATTTTTGTATTTTTAGTAGAGGCGGGTTTCACCATGTTGGTCAGATTGTCTCAAATTCCTAACCTTGTGATCCACCCGCCTTGGCCTCCCAAAATGCAGGGATTACAGGTGTGAGCTACCGTGCCAAGCGGCCTCCTTGGATTTGCTGTTTGGCCTGGGGCAAGCAACTTGCCCTCTCTGACCCTGGTTTTCCATCCCTCCTTTACTGCCCCCACCACTGCCACCTAGGTAGAGCTTTGGTGGGCCAGGAAATGGCACCTTTAGGAAGTGCTTGGGGTAGTTTGAATGTTGAGAGCCCTGGGAGGGCATCTCCCGAGGGTTGGGGTGATCAGTCCGGGTCTCTGCAGTGACCCCTCCCAGAGTGACCCTGAGACCAAAGACTTCTGGCTCAACATGGCAGCTCTGACCGAGGCCCTGCAGCGCCAGGCAGAGCAGAACCCCACCGCCTCGTACTACAACGTGGTGCTGCTGCGGTACCAGGTGCGCCACCCTCGTGGGGCTGGGAGGAGGTGGAGTGGGGATGGGGTGAGCCGGCAGCCGACTTGGAAGCGCCTGCATGTTGGCCAAGCTGGTCTCGAACGCCTGACCTCAAGATATCCAACCTGTGAGAGCCGATGAGCTGGAGTGCGTAGGCAGGGTGGGTTGGGAACGAATGGTGGAGGAGTCAGTGTGGGAGGGCGTGCGACCCTGTTGCAGATACCTTCATTATGTGAACTAGAAGAGGCCCAGCCAGGGAACCTTGCCCTTGAACTTCCTTGGGAGACTTGGCTTAGCATGACGCGCTCTCCTGCCCCCTGCTGGAAACTTGGTGTAACACAGCCTCTCATCCGTCCAATCTCCCTGTGACTGGGCTCTCTTGGGGCGGGCTGTGCGTGCATCGCAGGGTCAAGGTGGCTGAATAGTGCGTGTGTGGCAAGACGAGATGGCCCAAGCCACGTGCTCTCTCCCGTTCTGATTCCTCCTAGTTCTCTCGCCCGGGTCCCCAGTCTGTGCCTCTGCAGCTCAGTGCCCACTGGCAGTGTGGGGCCACCCTCACTCAGGTCTCGGTGGACTATGGCTACCGGCCCGGTGCCACGGCTGTGCCCACGCCACTCACGAACGTCCAGATCCTGCTGCCCGTGGGGGAGCCTGTGACCAATGTCCGCCTGCAGCCAGCCGCCACCTGGTGAGGGCATGCGGGAGGCCAAGGAAAACTCAGCAGTTTCCCCCACAAGCCCAGACCTTCCCCTTGAGGTCGGTTAAAGGGTGCACTCTAGGCCTGACCTTTCACTGGTGAGTCCACCCTGCTTAGCACTGAGGGTGATATTATGAGGGCCAGGTGCGGTAGGTCCTGCCTGTAATCACAATGCTTTGGGAGGCTGAGATGGGAGGATCACTTAAGGCCAGGAGTTGGAGACCAGCCTGGACAATATAGTGAGACCTCATCTCTACAGAAAATATTTTAGTTTTATTCATTTAATTAATTTATTTATTTTGAGATGGAGTCTCGCTCTGTCACCCAGGCTGGAGTGCAGCGGCGGGATCTCAGCTCACTGCGACCCCCACCTCCTGGGTTCAAGTGACTCACCTCCCGAGTAGCTGGGATTACAGGTGCCTGCCACCACACCCAGCTAATTTTTGTGTTTTTTTAGTAGAGACAGCGTTTCACCATGTTGCCCAGTCTGGTCTTGAACCCCTAACCTCAGTCGATCCATCCACCTCAGCCTCCCAAATCCAAAGTACTGTACTGGGATTACAGGTATGAGCCACTGCACCCAGCCTTCCAAAAAATATTTTAAAAAGTAGTCAGGCATGGTGGTGTGCTCCCGTAGTCTCAGCTACTTGGGAGGCTAAGGCAGAAGGATCGCTTGAGCCCAGGAGTTGAGGCTGCAGGGAGTTAGCCTGGGTGACGACCGTCTCTCTGTCTCTTTTTTTTTTTTTTTTTTTTTTTTTTTGAGATGGAGTTTCGCTCTTGTTGCCCAGGCTGGAGTACAATGGCGCGATCTCGGCTCACCGCAACCTCCGCCTCCTGGGTTCAAGCGATTCTTCTGCCTCAGTCTCCCAAGTAGCTGGGATTACAGGCACGCGCCACCACTCCCAGCTAATTTTGTATTTTTAGTAGAGACAGGGTTTCTCCATGTTAGTCAGGCTGGTCTCGAATTCCTGACTTCAGGTGATCCGCCGGCCTCGGCCTCCCAAAGTGCTGGGATTACAGGTGTGAGCCGCTGTGCCCGGCCAGAACCCTCTCTTAAAAAACAAATATTAGGCCGGGTGTGGTGGCTCTCACCAGCAGTCCCAGAGCTTTGGGAGGCCGAGGTGGGCAGATTACCTGAGGTCAGGAGTTCGAGACCAGCCTGGTTAATATGGCAAAACCCCATTTCTACTAAAAATACAAAAAATTAGCCAGGCATGGTGGCAGGTGCCTGTAACCCCAGCTACTCAGGATGTTGAGGCAGGAGAATCGCTTGAACCCGGGAGGCAGAGGTTGCAGTGAGCAGAGATCACACCACTGCACTCTAGCCTGGGTGACGGAGACTCCATCTCAAAAACAAAAACATAAAAGTGCCGTGTGGCTCCGTGGCTGTTCTGTATCTCCCCCATTTCCCAGATGGGGAAATTGAGGTGAAGTGGGGAGAAGGTTTGCTGGGGTCACACAGCCAGGAGGCAGCGGAGCTGGGACCCTGGGCTCTGAGCATCCTCTCTGGGGAAGCCCTGACCGAGATTCTCTCACTGCCAGGAACCTGGAGGAGAAGCGGCTCACATGGAGGCTTCCAGATGTATCTGAGGCAGGGGGTGAGCTTCGATTGTGCCTGAGGGCCCGGGGGGAGGGACTGCTGTCAGGTGGGTGGCACTTATTGGCGTCGGGTAGAATTGGGGGTGTACTGGGGGCGGGCACGGGCACTGAGGAAGGCTTTAGCAGGATGGAGGAGGGCTGGACGGGTGGTCTGGGCTGTGACCCGGTGCTCTGCAGTGCTCACGTGAGCCCAGGAGTTGGAGGCTGCAGTGACCTATGATCACACCGCTACACCTCAGC